CTGATGAGTCTGTATTGTAAAAATCTGAAAAGCCTAAAGGTGAACAATTTAAATCATAAATTACATAAACTACACAACCACTTTTCTGGTCCCAAGGTGACCTTTGGTTATATGAATTTCAAAAAAAAAAAAAGACTCCTACATAATATAGAATTGTTGCTTTTATTCCATTTTAGAAATAAGAAGGTAATTTTAGAAACCATAACATCTATACCCACAAATCCAGAAGCAAATAAGGTAGAGACATACTGTATAGTCTTACTTTTTGAATCAAGCTTCACCTCAAACTTTAAAGAATTGCTCAAATGTGAGGGATTTAACTAGCAAGTGCACAAGCAGGGTGGGCAGAAGGCCAGGGAAACACTTTCAAACCAGGCCACATACTTAAAATGCCTTGCAAAACACCACTTAACAGCCAGCCTAATGTGTTGCAATCTGAAATCAATAACCTTTCAGAGTAAAGGTATTCTGATTCTCAGAGATTCACAGTCTTCAACCTCAAATGGGCCTTCAATGCTGCCTAACAGTGCTACCAAGTTGCCTCAGCATTTCTGACCTTTTTCGATAATGCCATCTTAAACCTTTATTTTCCTCAAATTTCCAACTTGCCCCAATTAAGCTCAACAGATAGCATTACAACCTAGTTCCCAGGAGAAAAAAAAAAAAAAAAAGTTATTTGACCAGAATTCCCTAAACATTTTTTCTCAGGTTCACTTTTTCCTCTTATAACTCTGCAGAAAGAACAGTTTGCAAGTCCCACACATAGGAAATAGACTTGAGTGTTCCCAGACACCTTCAAAATTTCCTCCATCCTCTAGTTGTATCCTTTCCTCTATATATGCTATTCTACTAAACCCCTATTATAACCAAAACACAGAGCCCATCATCCCAAAGTGAACCCATCCATGAGTATGGTAGATGCTGTCCCCTCTTGCCTGATCAAAGACTCTCTCTATTCTCTCCCTATTCTTCAACTATTTTCAGTCTTTCCCTCTTGGCTGGTCCCTTCCCTTCAGGATTTTACACTTGTTGATTTTCATCCCTTTAATGGTGTCCTTTTTAATGTTATAACAACTTTAGACTCAGACAAGTTGCTACGATAGTACAAAGAACTCCTGCATACCCCTCACCAGGAGATCCCATTCAAGTTCACCAGTTGTCCCAATAACATAAATTATAACAAAGACATCACACACCACAACTACTAGTTATGCCTCTATAGTTCATTCCCACATGAAATGGTCCTCAGTCTTTCCTTGATATTACCGTAAATTGATGAGAAATAGATTTAAGAATTTTAGCAAATAGGAATGTCTTGATGTTTCCCTGTAACTAAATTCAGGCTCTCTGCTTTTGGAGGTACAAGCAGAAGTAATGCTGTGTCCTTCATGTGGTAGTTTATTGGGTGGACACAATGTCACTTTGTTTCATTGGTGAAAATAACCTTAATTAATCCAGATAGTAGCTATTAGATGACTCAATGTATTTTTTCTCCATTATAATTTGTTGAGTGATGCTTTGAGTCTACATCAATATACCATATTTCATACCACTTTTACAGTCAAATTTTGGCATCTGTTTATATTTCTTGCATGAATTACTTATGCTACGTTGTTGTTAAATGCCTAGTTCTACCATTCCTTCTGCATTTATTAATTGACACTCTTATGAAATGATTTTCCTTTCTTTCCCTCCCATTTGACTCACTTATTTCTTTACAAAAATACGTACTCAAGGATTTTCACTATGATTAATGGGTTAAAATCTTTTACTATCATTATTCATTTTAATGCTCAAATTCTCCCAGATTTGGCCAGTAAGACCCCAATTTCCTTTTGTTGTGTCACATTCCCTGAGTACCTCCTTACTTTCTGGCACACCACAAGATTTCAGACTCCAGCCCCAGAATCAGACATTTCTTCCAAAGGTCCCTGATTCCTTTTAGAAGACAGTGGTATTCAGAAATCAAGATATGGGAACAAGCACTGCTCTTTGTTTCTAGAAAGAATGCCACTATTCCCAGGACCTCGGGGAAAGGGCTGGGATGAATGTGTATGTGTAGAGCAAACCTGGTCTTTCTGAGGAATTTAACTCAAAGAACAGAAATGACATCCATTCACACACATGCATTTACATCTACATTTATTTCTTTATCCACACACATGGAAGGCATGAATTCACACTATTAGTTCCAATTCTAATGCATTCTATATGTACATCACCTTTCTCCATCTGTGAAAACATATCCTGTTACTTCGGTAAGTTTCCTTATTGCTCAGTCACCGGTATAAAACCAATTTCCTGAACCCTAACTGGCTACCATTACAATACCCCTCAGGTGTGGTTCCCAGTATAACCTCTTAAAACGGTAGCTTGTAATCACTGTCCCCATAGTGCTCACTTCAGTCATTCTTTGATTTCCATTCTGGTTAAGGCAACTAGTGATCTCCTTGCTGCCAAACCTAAACGATCTTTCTCAATCTTTTCTAATTTGAACTCTCTTACAGCATCTGACATTCTTTAATATTTCCTGCCTCTTAAAATATTCTCTCCCTCTGTCTTCTATAACTCCCTACTCAAATGAGTGACCTCTTTGACCATTCCTTCTTAGAATCCACTATAGGCTTTTGCCTCCTCCCTTCTTTACTTATTATGATCCCCTGGGATTCTGTCCTCTCTATACAGTCCCTTAGGTAGTTCATCCCTTTCAAAAGGGTACAATTATCTCTATTCTGCTGTGGTGGGAGTGCAGTTCAGTGGTAGAGTGCTTGCCTACCTTGTCCTAGGCCCTAATGACAAAGGAAAAAATTTTAAAGCAGGTCCGTATATTCTATATCCTTAATTCAGATCTAATTCTTAAGCTCCAGACCTGTATAATGAAACACCCATCAAATATTATTCCTTAGGGATCTCCACCCTGTCCCATCACCCAAAACTGCTTTTCTTCCTGAGAAATTTAACTTAAAGAACATAATTATCTTTCATCCAATAAGAGGTCCAAAACACTCAATTGAACAGCCATTCTAAACATCTTTTTTCTCACCCACATCATCAAAGTTAATGAAGTTACCTGTGAAATTCTCTTCCAATTTTATTCCCTTATCAATTCTGTAGAGCAAGAAACTATAACCTTGTTCCTGATTTATCACTATAGTCATTTAACTGACCTCTGTTCTTGCTATTCTTCCAATCTAAGGTACACAATCTTTGTGAAACACAAGTATGATCATTACCCAACCCCTTCCAAGAATCCCTGCTGCCCTGGGGAAGCACCAATTCCATTACACAGCTAACTAGGCTGTGCATGGTCTTGCCTTAGCCTGCCTTAATGACATCATCTGTTGTCCTTAAACTTCAAGCTTAAACACAGCAGCACTGGAATTTCTTTCACTACTACAAACACACACTCTCCCTTCAAGTCTCTCTGCTTCTCTTCTACATTGCAAATTCTACTCATCCCTCAGGACATAGATTTTGTCACCTCCAGGGGTCTTCCCAGAATGCCCTGCTCTGTGCTTCCACAGTACTCTAGTTCTCTAAAGTGTTCATCCCCCTTTATTATAACCAGCTTTATCAGAGTCTCAAAGAGAAATGTCTTATACCCAGCTGTATCACCAATACCTAGCATAGTAGCCCAAACACAATAGGTGCCCTAAGTATTGACTGAATGAATGAGCCTCAGAAATAAAGAACTCTACAGAAGCCACAGTAAAAAGGCACATTGCACACATATGGATGAATTCAGGGTATGTGGCAACATACCCTTTTCACTCCTGCTGCCGTGTAATTCAAAGGTTGACATCTTCATATGTAATGAACAACTATGCAACTTTATTAGCCTGAATGAAATACAATTGTTTACCACAAATACAAGAAGGCAGAAGTCCCTCTTCTTTCTCTGTAGCAAGTTGGAATGACTCAATGTTTTTTACATTTTCATGAAGATGACACACAATTAATCATTGTGTGAGAGAACATGTGTCCTCAGCCAAGAGGGTGAGAGTAAGAATGAATGGTCAAGTACGTTCTTCTCAGTTATTCTCTGCAGGCATGCACACACAAAAACACACACTTCATACTGTTAAGATTACTGTATGACTTAACAAAATAAAAATAGAAAATGAGCTCCTGAAGGACATATTCCAAATTGTGGATGGTATCTGGCAGGAAAAGTAACACCAAATGTGAGAGGTGACACCAGAGGGCAACCACTGCCAACTGTAAATACCAAAGGTTAATGTTGCACGAAAGAGGAAATCTATGAGCAGGATTAATACTGTTACCACTTGCTATACACTGTGACTGTTATAAAGCCAGATCCAAGTTACCCCATTTTTACCATGCATGTTTTACATATAAGGAAATGGTACTTGAAGTGTCCAAGATCTAAAAAATAATAAAGTACAGCTCTTTCCAATTCTTAGCACTGTATCCTGAACTGAGCAAGACTGAAAAATTAGAAAACTCCAGTTAAAACATGTTATTTGGGAAAATGAAAAGAAATGGCAAAAGAAATAAATAGAAATTAAAAATTTTGGCTCTGGGGATTAGGAAATAGGAACAGGAAGAGTTGGGCAAAGAATCCCATTTTTATATGAATCCTCTAGTAATACTTGAGCTTTAAAATTATACATATGTATTACTTGAATAAAAAGCACAATTTAAAAGCACAGCAGGAGAGGAACTGGAGTATAGCTCAGTGGTAAATCATTTGCCTAGTACATGTGAAGATCTGAGTTCAATCCTCAGCACCAGGGGGGAGAGTGGGGAGAGAGAAATATATAAAAGCACCAAAGGAGACTATTTATTGCCAAAATAATATGTAAAGTCTGATCCATTTAAAATATAAACTTAAATACATATACATAGATGCTTTGGAATGCTGCTACTCTGGAAGAGTTGTAAGTTTTGCTGGTTTTTTCTTTACCTTCAAAGATCTATACTGCTATTTCGATAAGAAATGTCATTTTTCACAGAATATTTTAAAAATATCTACTTACCTTAGCTGATCTTTCAATATTTAAATCTTTATCCAGTTTAAAAAGAATTGTCATGTTGTACCCAGTCTGGTTTCCATGTCCATGAGGCCACCAAGTTTCCACAGGAATATTCTTTTAAGAAATATAGTAAGTCACTCTAAGAAATGTAGCATATTTTCAGAAAAATAACATGACCAAGAACATTATGTCAGTTTCTCATATAGTCAAGTATAGGAACTCTAGGTTCTATGCAATACAAGTCTCCCTATCTATATTATGCCAAATCATACCAACCTATTGATAATATTTTTAAAATCAATGTGAGGGTTGGTATTGTGGCTCAGTGGTAGAGCACTCGCCTAGCACGTGCAAGGTGCTGGGTTCGATCCTCAGCACCACATAAAAATAAACAAATAAAATAAAGGTATTGTGCCCAACTATAACTGAAAAAAATATTTTTTAAAAAATCAATGTGCTAGAAGATTAGCACAGATTAACACACCAAAAGGGAAGGGAAAGAACAGAAAAACATGGATGTTCAGAAAAACAAACCCTCCTACCTCTAACTCTCCAGCTGACACTTATCCTACATTCTTAACACTTAGACTTTGAAGTTAACTGTTCTTTCAAGACAAGAACTAGAAATTATGTGGAGTTCTGACTTTATCTAAACAGTTACGGAATGTGATTTTGCTCCATCTTTTCTAGTTCATATTTATCAATCAGAGAAATAGAAAGTGGAGGAGGGGTAAAATCCATCCCACTCCTGCCAATGAAAGATCATGAGTTTAGAATTAGAATTCTACGTACAGAATACGCATCAGCATTCAAAATTATTGACAAGTAACAAAAATACTCACTGCACTTAAAAATGTAGAAAGTATTTTGGATTTAAGATACTGCAAATACTACAGGAAAAAATCCAAATGTAACTGACTTGAGAGGAAAGATTGCCAAATTCATCACATATTTTCCATTTTCTTAATCTTAAAATTAAAAAAATATATATTCCTTGGTTCATACTCTCACAAAATATAATAAAAACAAGTTTTAAAATAGAGGATAAAATGGGAAGAAAAAAGAAAACAAATGAAGGAAATAGAATTTTTTTTCATACTTGGACCCTTCTTTCTAACCATTTCTTTTGAACAGCTTTCACTTTCAACCAGGGCTTCGCAGGAAGCACCATCATTCACCTTGTTAATTTTCACAGACAGCTCAACAGTCCTTTTTCCAGGTTGAAGTTTAATGTTGTTTGTCTTCTGTATTTTTAATTCAGGGATGGCTATGATCACTTGACCACCAACTGGAGTTGGGCTGATGACATCAAAAAATGCCTGTATTTTAAGCTTCCACATCTGGGCTCTATTGTCTAAAGCATAAAGAGAAAAAAAAATGTATACAATATGCTAAGCATCATCTCTTCACTCCTCAGGATTCATTGAAGACCAAAGCAGCTTAAGTATTCTGCAATAATATCAGTTTTTAAAAATCAATAGAAATGTTATTTTGATCTATAGAGCTTAATTCTTCATTCTGAACAATAACCAAAATTTTGTGTGTTTTATATAGACCTCCACTCTTCCAGAAGCACATGGAAAATTAAGCAATTTAGGTTCACAAAGCACAGTGTTAACCAGTAATTTTTTTCAATATTACTAGGTCACTTCTTTTTACTTGCTAACTTAAAAAATGTATAATCTTATTTCTATTTAATCTTATAAATTAGGATCCATGTCTAGAATACAGCTTCTTAGCATAGCTCTCCTAGAGTCCATTTTCTAAGGAAAACCTACCATTCATCCTCAGCTCTCCTGAAGTGCATGCAAGAAAATACCAAGAGGAGACAGTACAAGATAATTTCCAAAGTAGTACTGGGGTTGAGGGTAGGGAAGAAGGACTGTCACATCATCCAGAGTCCCCTACAGTGCTCATCCTTCCTAATTACACCAAGCATAGTATCCTCTCCGCATCCTGACACCCAAGCCCCAAATAAGACAGGAACTCCGTATCAAAACAGGAGGACAGGCAAGGCTGGCTTGCCCTCTCTACAACTTGAGGTCCTCCTGAAGGCTCAGATATGTCCTTAATGATATCCTGGGCCCGTGAATAGATATGGTTTATAGTTTGTTCATATGACCTCAACCAGGAAGTCAACACAGAGGATGGCAGGAAATGTGGTTCTGGCCACTGACTCATGTCAAGTTTTTCCAAGAGCCAACTCTGTGAGGTTCTTATAAGGAAGAGAAGGAGCGAGGAAGGTAGGGCACCATGTTCCTGACTGATGGGAATTTGTAGAAAGGCTAGGCAGGTTCACAGCCCACAATAATGTGTGCTGTTCATTCACAGATCATTAAGACATCTCTATTTGTGTCTAATACATTAGACTTTTAAATTCTTCAAAGAATGTTACTATACTGTCTTCTTTGTAAATATGTGACGGGAAAAAGGAAAGAACAGGGGGTGGGGAACTGCTTTATTCAGCTGTCTAGAAGAAAAAAATATATATAAATGAAACATAGAAATTAGAAAAACAAGAAGATGGCTGAGTTACCTTAATACAAGTATATAAACAAGCACCAGGAAGACATGGTTCCAAACTACATAATTTTTAAAACAGATACAACTTTTTTTGTTGCCTTTATTTTATTTATTCATTTTTATGTGGTGCCAAGGATTAAACCCAGTGCCTCAAATATGCTTGGCAAGCCCTTTACCACTAAGCTACAATGGCAGCCCCCTCAAACTACATCTTAAGCATTGCTTTAATTGATTTTAATAAATCCTCAAGTTTCAATGTCTTCATCTAGCTGTATGATATCTAACTTCAGGGAAAATTGGGATCTTCCACATTTAAACTCTCACTAACTTGTACTGGTACATCTAGTTTATAAATGAAAAGAAAGATCCATGGAAAGACAGAGATAAAAGAATCCTGGAGATGTCCTAGTCACTTTGCAGATGAGGTTTTGAAGCCCTGAGTGCAGTCCTTACTCAAAGTTTCCTAGGCCAAGGAGAGAACAGGGACCCAGGCTTCCTGACTCCAGTGCTCACGGCTGCCTAATGGGAGCCCCTACTGAAAAGAATGATACTAGCAGGTACACATTGACAGAAATTTGTATATGAATGATAAGGAAGAATAAAAGCAAAGGGAATCAGCCCTTCAGACTCCAACTCCAAAAAGCAAATAAATATATTCCAAGTGAAACAAAGCATTTGGGGGGATTAAAACAATAAAACATTACCTTCTTAATGAGCATCTTTGTAAAAAAGTAAGGAAGACTAGAGTCTAGGAACACAGAGTGTGTCTGACCCTCCACTGAACATATAATTATGTGGTGCCTCAGCTCCTCCACTCCTCAAAATACCATCCTTGCAGCCTAAACTACTGACCAGGGCACAAAAACAGTTATGTGAGCATTTCTGTCAAACCAGTCAAAGAGATTTCTTGAATAGTTACTATCTGTAAAGCTTGACAGACACTATATATTACAAACTAATCCAAAAAGGCAAAACTGCTGTCTCTAACTCTGAAAATGTACTTAGAGAAACAAAATACATCCAAAGGTCACAGTTAAGAACACCAGATGGCATCTGAGGGGTTAAGGACTAGCAGGGAAATGGAAGTTCAGAGGCAGGGAATGTTCAGGTCGGCATAGGAAAAATCTGCAAACGTCTGCTTATGTAAGATGAAAAAGATGCTTCATCTCATTGGAGGAAAAAGCTATTCAAAGACAGCTGCCTTGATTAGCTTCGCCCTGCTGGGCTCCTGCAGCTCCCCCCCTTTGCCTGCTCCTTCTTCCTGCATCTTTCATAGGAAACGAAAAGCTACAGGGAAAAAGTAGTCCTGTGCATTTAAAGAAATAGTAATGACACCATACTGAATTGGCCAAGTTGCAGAACGTGTAAATTCAAACATAAGCTATTTTCCTGGACTCCTGCTAGAATTAGAGGGCAGATAGAAGCAGCTGCTTTTTAAAGAGTTATCAGTTGAACTGGCCAAAAGGCAGGCTCATGGTTAGCTACAGCAGCTGTTTTCTCTCCCTTCACCAAACAGCAAGATCTCCCTGCCTACTTAGCAGGACAAAATCCCTGAAAATAAAATCAAGGCAAAAAGAGCCAAAGCAAAATCCCCTTCAAAACAAGGAATAGAACAGGAGTATGTTCCAGGGAAGAAAATGTACCTAAGCAAGAAGGCAACTAATAAATCAGAGGAAAGACTATTCAAGCAACCTATCTACCCATACAGTAATTTCAAAGGAGAAGAGTGTTATTTTAGGAAAAAAGTAATTCAGAGATGAATTAAAAAAGTGATTCCAAAGGAATGCATGAAAAAAAATGAACAAATGCTTACCAAGTAAGGTACTAAACAAAACCAACAAATCTTTGCTATATTTTAATATTATATTTTCTGTGTTAAGCTATAAGCAAAAGGTAGCAATGCCCTTGAACTAGACCTCTATTGGGCAGGGCGAGGTCCAGCTGAGTGCTGGAGTTCACTCCTGCAATTCAAAGGCTGGGTCATCCACAATGAAGGAGTCCTGAGGCAGCTGTACAAAGTAGGGCAGGCAAAGTAGAAGTGTCCCAAGTATGGGTCAGAGATTCACAGCCACCCCAACTCAGAAAGAATTACAAAAGCAAGGGAATTCACAGGTTGAAAAAACATCTCCATGCTTTCCTAACTGAACAAAAGATTAAACGGCAGAGTATTTCAACAAAACAAATTATATATTTTATTTTATGTCTATATGACAATATAAAAAGGTCACAAAATTAGGCAATCATCACTCCCTAATAAATGTATGGCCCAACTGAAACAATTCGCAAGGATAATGAATATCTGTCTGTCTCTCTTACACACACACAAACACACACACACAGGGAAAAAAAAAAAAACACCATCAAACCCAAAGGCCTACATTTTGGCACAGATCATTTTCTCATAAATGTACTAATCTTTAGAATTGAGGCATCTACCTTCCCTGTTACATTCCCCCTACTTCCGCACATACCTCAGTAACCCAAGTCCAGCCCAGACTTCCCCTTCCCCTCCCTCAGCACACGCAGTAGGTTTTCCTGCAACACCCACCCCAAACCCCATGGAAAAAGACCGGTAGAGGTTTGCTGAGTCACACCTGGTCAAAGCATCTGGGCCTCCCTTTTCAATACCAGTGTGAATCTTTCACTTTTAAAAATACTGAAAATAGGGTTTTTCCTACAAGAGTTACTGCTATTTAAAACCTGATGAGAATATTTCAGGGCTAAGGATGAATCATTTAAATAAATCTCAGCTAATCGGGTTTTGAAGAAAGTTATACCAGTGCACCGGTATCTTAAAACCCAGATAAATCTTAGTAGCCCTAAAAACATCAGTGGCTCCTGCTTTACTGTGATCTCAGCATTATTTTCAAATATAATTGTTTTATTGTTTAGCATCTTGAACATTAAGAATATGTGAACATTGGGTTTGGAGGTATGGGTCAGTGATAGAGCATTTACCTAGCATTTGCAAGGCCCTGTATTCAGTTCCTACCCAGCATGGCAAAAAAGCAAAAAAATAAAGAACTTTGTAAAAATCATTCAGGAAGCTGAGGTTAGGGGAAAAAAAATCAAACAAATGGCCACAAGATATTGAAAAGTACGAAAGTTTAGAAACCGTTATTATCAGGAATGAGATTAGAGAGAAATATATACACATATACACATTATACACACAAAGTAAATTAATTCACAAAAATTTCAAGTCAAGTTTTAAAAGTAAAACATCCCTCTTTATATATATATATATGTGTGTGTGTGTGTGTGTATATATATATGTGTGTGTGTGTGTATACACATACATATATATATAGTTGTTAATGGAACTTTATTATTATTATTTTTTTTAATTTATATGTGGTGCTAAGACTTGAACCCCATCATGCCTCACACATGCTAGGCAAGTGCTCTACCACTGAGCACAACCCCAGCCCATGGATTGGTAATCTTTTATATCACCCCTCTCCCCCAACCAGTGTGCAGCACCCTGAGGAATGACTGGATGTACTCGATTTCTTTTCTATGCCAAACAAACACAGTGTTCAGAAAAGAACTCAACAAATATTTGATCCAATTTTAACTGATTCACTGACTTCTGTGAGATTTCTGGGTTTTATTTCAATATTCCTTGACAGGGAATAGTTCTTTCAACTAAAAGAAGTTTCTTCACTTTGCAAAATGTTCTTTGTGTCTTCTCTACCTTCCAGTCATTTTCAACTCTTAACAAGGCTTACAGGTCGGGGCCTCAGAGGTGCTCTCTGAGTTATGGAGATAATGTACAGTGACAAAAAACTGGTCTAGTGACTAGAGCAAACCACTGAAAGTGACCTCAGGGACAACAAAAAGGAGTACAAGCCAGCACACCCAATCCTTCCAACAAAGAAGACATAGCTCGGGAGGAATTAGAGATGTTCTTCATTTTTTTCTTCCTTTCTTTGCAAAATATGCTAAAAGGTATCTACCAACCTACGTGCTTTATATTGTCAATTTTTCTGACAAATCAGTTTGTATCTACTTCTTATGTTTATAAATTGGCAGTGCCACAACGTGTTTTTAAAAATTAAGTCTCTGAAAAAATATGTATTTAAATTACAAACTCAATATTTATAACACAGAGGAGAAGACACAAAAACAAGAAATTACAATTCTTAACTTACCATACATTGGGACAAATGTGAAGTCATACAGATGACAAATATTATAGGCTTCAATTCTAACACCTTTCCAGATTCCTTGGGTAGGAAAAGAAGGCCCCCAGTCCCAACTAAAGGAACACTGTTCCTGTGATTTAAAGGGGGAAAAGAAGATACATTCTGATTACTGTAAAATTTAAATATTATGAAAAACATTTTCTTTTAAAATATTATAAAAATATATGCATATCAATTTGCTAAAGTTGACATAACAAAATGCCATAGACTAGATAAGGTTTTACCAAATGAAATTCATCTTCTCACAGTTCTGGAGGCCAAAAGCCCAAGATCAAGGTGTCAGGTTTGGTTTCTTATGAGGCCTCTCTTCTTGGCTTGCAGATAACCACCTTCTTCTTCTTCTTCTTCTTCTTTTTTTTTTTTTTTTTTTTGTCTTCTTTTCTGTTCTTTTTTGCACTGTGCAACCCTCTTCATTGCCAGCAGCCTAAGGCAGAGGCCAGGCAATGGTTCAGGGCTACAGTTTGCTCTGGCATGGGACACTATGAGAGACAATAACCACCTTCTTGATGTATCCTCACATAGTCTTTTTCTATGCTCAAGCATCCCTGGTGACCTCTCTCTGTTGTCCAAATTTCCTCTTCTCACAACACTAGTCAGATTAGGGCCCACTCTAGCCACTTCATTTTAACTTAATCATCTCTTTAAAAATTTTATCTTCAGGGCTGGGGTTATAGCTCAGTGGTAGAGTGCTTGCCTTGCATTTGTGAGGCACTTGGTTTGATCCTCAGCACCACATAAAATAAATAAATAAAATATATATACTTAAAAATTTTTTTTTCTCTCCAAATACAATTATATTCTGAGGTACTAGGGGTTAGAAATTCCACATGTAAATTTGGGGGCACTATTCAGTCCACAACAATGTGTGTGTGTGCATGCTTGCAAGTAGACACATAAGTTTCTCTGCAGCAACCCACAATTTTCCTCTTCTGATGTTTATACACTTATATAATCCCTTCTCTTGACTATGTATTGAATCTCAAAAAACAATTCCAACCAAAAGAATATAGCAGAGGTGATACTATTTTCAAAATTGGGTTATAAAAAACTGAGCCTCTTGCTTAGCTCTTTTGGCCAAGGAAAAAGCCAGCGGCCACATCCAGAAACAGCTCTGTGGGGAGACCCATGTGAGTCCTGGGAGGCCTACCAATAACCATGATGAGCCTAGCCCTCATTAAGGCTTGAGACGCCTGCAGCCCAACTGGGTGGCAGCTTGACTACAACCTTGGGAGAGACCTTAAACCAGAAGCAGACAGCCACCCCAGGGTCAGGTTCCTAGTGGACATAAACTGTGATAACAAATGTTTTAAGATAAAAATTTTGGTGTAATTTGCTGACAGAATATATAACTATTACAATAATCAATATATCAACCTATGCAACATAATTTTTTGTTTTGGGTTTTTTTATTGTTATTGTTTGGTGCAGGGGATTGAACCCAATGGTGCTTAACCACTGAGCCATACCCCGCCCCGCCCTTTTCTATACTTTATTTAGAGACAGGGTCTTGTTGAGTTGTTAAGTGCCTTGCTAAGTTGCTTAGGCTGGCTCTGAACTCACAGTCCTCCTGCCTCAGCCTCTTGAGTCATTGGGATTACAGGTGTGTGCCACAGTGTTCTGCTCATAATTTTAACTGCTAAATTTATTTAGCAGAAATGTTTCTAAGAACATAAAATCCAACTACAAAGAGTTTATTCTTCAAAGGATATTACATTGAGGCAACACAATGGTTACCTTTTATAAATGCCTTCAAAAGATCTCTGAACATAGCCACTGTATTAAGTGTGATAACAATAAAGAATAAGTAACAACATTGAAAGATAAAAACAAGGCTGGGCTCAGTGTTGCATGCCTGTAATCCCCACAGCTTGAGACAGGAGAATCTCAAATTGCCTTAAGCAACTCAGCAAAACCCTCTCTCTAAATAAAATAAGAAAAAGGGCTGAGGATGTGGCTCAGTGGTTAAGTGCCCCTGGGTTCAATCCCAGGGACCAAATTTTTTTAAAAAAAGATAAAAACATGATAAACAGTTTAAAAGAAGCTCTAGTGAGACTCATCAAACCCTATCTCCTTGAGTGTGAATTTATTTTTTTTTAATTTTTATTGTTGGTTGTTCAAAACATTACATAGTTCTTGATATATCATATTTCACACTTTGATTCAAGTGGGTTATGAACCCCCATTTTCACCCGTATACAGATTGCAGAATCACATCGGTTACACATCCACTGATTTACATATTGACATAGTAGTGTCTGTTGTATTCTGCTGCCTTTCCTATCCTCTACTATCCCCCCTCCCCTCCCCTCCCCTCCCCTCTTTTCTCTCTACCCCCTCTACTGTAATTCATTTCTCCCCCTTGTATTATTTTCCCCTTTCCCCTCACTTCCTCTTGTATGTAATTTTGTATAACCCTGAGGGTCTCCTTTCCATTTCCATGCAATTTCCCTTCTCTCTCCCTTTCCCTCCCACCTCTCATCCCTGTTTAATGTTAATCTTCTTCTCATGCTCTTCCTCCCTACTCTGTTCTTAGTTATTGAGTGTGAATTTAGAAGTCTTTGTTTCTGAACACAGAGCCCTAAAGCAATCAGTTCAAATTTTAGACACTGACACAGGAGGCCAAGGCAAACATCTCATTCAATCTTATCAGCTTGGCTATCTGTCTCTCCCATTATGACACTCAATTTCCATAGTATAAAATTATAAAGGTACCAAATCAAAAGTACAAAATGCTTCTCTTAATAAAACCTTTTCAAGAAGAATTTTTCCTATTTCTATTTTTTTAAATAATCTTTTTTATTATTTATTTATTTATTTATTTTTATGGTGCTGGGGATGGAACCCAGGATCTTGAACATTCAACAAAGAGACAACAATGGGAATTGGTGGGGAAAAAACTAGAGAAGTTGGCTCAGGTCACATAGAGCTAAGTATGGACTTCAGCCTAAAGACAATGAGACCCGTGGACAAGTTTTAAGAAGAGGAGTATCGTGATCATTTTTGTCTGAAAAGACCATTCTAGCTACTCTGTGAACAACCAGTCAGAAGAAGGCAAGTGAGAATGCAGGTACATCAGTTAGGCAACCAGGGCAGTATTTCATGTAAGAAATAACTGAATTCAAGACCTAGTAGTAGAAATGGAGCATGCGTAGATTGAAGAGCTATTGAAGAAGTTCCATGCACAAAAGGATTTAGTCATGGGTTGGTTGGAAGAGGAAATAAAGAGAGAGGGAGGTACCAGAATAACTCTTGAATTTGTGGCTTGAGCAACTATTGCAGGTAGTATCCCATTCAGTAAAAACAAGAAACACAAGAAAAAGGATTTAGATCACAAATGCTGTGCTGAACATACTAAGTTTTAAAGTCCCGGTGAATCAGGCAAATGGCAGTGATAAACAGAACTTGAGTATAAGGTCTGGAATTGAAGAGACATGGAGCCAAGGATAGTTACTTGGGAGTTACTGCCAAGTCCATTGGCTAGTTGTTGTTGTTGTTGTTTTAATTTTTATGTTGTAAGTCAATTGGGTACTAAATAAATGAAAGTAAATGAGGTAGCCTAGAGAAGGTATGAAATTAGAGAAGTGTCTATAACAGAAAGACATTTGAATAATATAACTTTTAAGAGAAGCAGAACGTGAATAGACACATAGAAAAAACAGCCAGGATGCAAGCAGGCAACAAAGAGGATGGCCTCAAACACTAGTAGGAGTTTGACACCTCTGTCTTTTCTACTGTCTAAATGATGGGAAAGATGGAGGACATCGTCTAAACTGGGCAAATGGGGAAAGCAAAGATGAGAGGGGATTTGTGTTGGTATGGAGAAAGTGGTCCAACAATGGGTGAAGGAAAGTTAAGCTTTTCCTCTTAAAAACCCAGTGTCACCTAGACTCCTAATGCAATCATGCACTAGTATCAGTTCAAGTCCTCATCAGATGTGGTGGCACACACCTATAATCCCAGCAGCTCAGGAGGCTGAGACAGGAGGATGGTGAGTTCAAAGCCAGCCTCAGCAAAAGTGAGGGGCTAAGCAACTCAGTGAGACCCTGTCTCTACATAAAATACAAAATAGGGCTGAGGATGTGGCTCAGTGGTCGAGTGCCCCTGAGTTCAATCCCCAGTTCCCAATAAATAAATCCCCAGTTCAATCCCTACTACTGCCATTGCTGCTGCTTCTGATTCCGCTGCTACCAGCCTGAGGTTGCCTGGAGGTCTTCTTTCTGGGTGCTGCTGCCACAGAAGAGACCATTGCCCTGGATGCAACTGAAGCCGACATCGCTGCTGACCCCCTAAGATCGCCTGTTGAGGCTGCCCCCACAGCTGCAATTGCAGCTGCCCCTGCAGCCCCTGCAGCCACTGCTACAGCCTCTGCAGCCACAACTACTGCTGACCTGCTGCCTGCTGCCAACAACCACTGCCACTACTGCTGCTACCATGGCCTAGAGCACTCCTTCGGGGGAGACTCCAGGTTTGGTTGCATATAGCTGCACCCATTTTGGAACATCAGCTAGGACCTGGGGCCCAGGTGCCAGCAGGTTTACCACCACAAGAGCCTCTGCCTGGGGACTCCAGCTAGGACCAGCAGGTCCACTATGGGGGGTGCCCGCAGGTTTGGAGGAGCCTGAGGTCTTCCTGCTGAGTGGCCCTGTCTTGTTGCTATATCTCAGGGTTGCTCCTTTGCATGAATGTATCCCGGGTGGTCTCTCTGCAAGTAGGAACAGCATTGAGATCTTGGGACTGCAGCATGGCCAAGCCTGAGGTATCTGAAGTTCAGATTGGTGGAACAGTGACTGGGATTGTGAGGGCTGATCTGGGTTTGGTGATCCCAGGAGACATAGAGAGAGAGGGTGGAGAAACTGTTGAACACTGACAGAGACAGTTTGACTTTGCAGCAAGATTTATTTTATTTTATTTTTTGATTCACTAATCTCTCTACCATATTTGGAACAGGATATTTTTTATGCATCAGTGTGTGGAGGACAATGATATATGAATGGTGTTTTGCATTTTTGTTGTATTCTTGTTTCTTTGATTTTTTTCTCTTTGTTTGTATTCTTCCTCTCTCTTGTCTAT